TTAAAATATGTTGAGGAAAATGTGTGTTTATTGTCCTTAGCTTAAGATTTAGGAAGAAAATTTAGGAAGGAAGTATAAAACAGAACATTCCCTGTTAATTTGGTCCCTGGAACAGCAGAAGCCCATGGTATTTAACCTTTTGGTCATTAATATGTTGATGGAGGGAAGGATTAAGAAAAGGGCAGGTTGAGGGACGCAAACGGCACAAAGGCCAGAGGCAAATAATTTTGTATTGACTCCAGTTCTAGAAAATAGACTCAAGGCACAAATTAGAACATTTCCAAAGGTGGTTCTGTGGTCAAATGAAGTGACTTCCCAACTGAGATTCTTCCTCTGCTCCGGGATTGGAGAAGCAAGCAGGTATTTGAACTGTTAATTATACTTGACTCAAGTAAAGTAAATGTATCTTCAAGGCTAGTACTTTACTGGGAAGACAGTGATAATGTGCTATCTCAGAGCATACAGCATGTGAAGGCAGATTATCTTACTGAACTTTCATCCCAAAATGTCATGCGTGTCCCCCCTGTGACGATAGTAAAATGTTTGCCACATACTCTCCCTTACCCTGCTCGCACTGTAATTACGTTAGCTGTACTGCAGGGACTTCACTTCTGAACAGCAGTCCTACGTGTTCCACCTTGGGGGATTGGGAAATAGTTTTCTCCATTCCATAGTTCATTTCCTTCTGGTTGTGGATGCCCCTATGGGAGCTGAAGTAGCAGGTGCTGAGAGCGTAGATCAAAAATAGATCGTTATGTGGAAAAACTGAAGAGTAATCCTGATCCTTCCTTATGTGAAAAACATGTAGCTGTGCTGAAAATGGGATTAAATTGGCTAAAGATCATCATAAGGGGTCAACTTTTATCTCATTAAAGTCCTGCTTTGTTTCTGACACCAGTGGAAAGTCAGCGAGTATTCCCTGGCAGAAAGTGGTGCAAACAATAAAGCTGCACAGCAGGCCGCCAGCCAGGAGCTCCGGGGTCCTAATCCTTTCTGACTTGCTGTGACCTTGGGTGAGGCATTTCACTTCTCTCTGCTTCCCTGTCCTGTAACCTAGAGTTAACAATTATGTTTCAGAGAGTTTGAGTTAAATAGCTGTTAATTTTAAAGCACTTTGAAAATTATAGGCTCTGTGAACGTATTAAGCTTTAATCCCTCACACCTGGAATAGTATGGCTGATCCTGAAAGCGCGGGAGTTCTTCCTGGGCAGAAAGGCGAGGAACGTGGTGATGAGGTGACTTAGACTGAGCAAAACAGGTTTTCAGGCAACAATTCTTTGGAGTAATTCCCAGTTCCTCCGAAGTGGGGGAACACAAGCTGAGCCCATTATCAGAATGGGTGTGAGACTGGGAGAATGGGAGGTTAGGTATGGTGCAAAAGGAATGGGAAATACACTGTTGGTCAGGGGTAGGCTGAGCTTGCATATGTGGGACAGTGGGAAAGAGGTTGTGCTTGAGGTTGTGCTCAAAGTTGGCAAGAGAACAGGTAAGCTAACAGGTTGGGCAGGGTGGAGGAACAGTGAAAACAGGAATGAGGTGCCATAGTACCATTTTGACCAAACAGAAAGGTATTTAATGGTTTAGGTTTTTTTCCAGAATGTCTCCTTTGAGATGCAGGGCTGATGTGGTTTTCCCTTCCCTGCTCAAAACAAGCAGCACTTTCTAGGAAGTGAAGTTCTGGGTGATTCCAGCCACTTTAAGCAGTAGCATAAATCAACCCCAGATCAGGTTCTGCAGCTTGGCAGGCACACGTCTGTCTGGAGTCTTCCATAGACCATAACCAGTGTGGGGTGCAGAGCTAATCGGGTCATCAGGGTGACTGGTACAGCCCTAAATGCAGTTCCTGCATAGTGGGTGCCTCGGGCTGTGGGGCTGGCAGTTCTGTTTATAACTGCTATGTTGCTCAATTTCAAGGTTATTCAGAGGGGGAGTCACACATAAAATAGACTTTAGTGTTTATACCTGCTTTGGTGCTTTGTACTCAACATACTATGCATTCAGAACTATTTCTTTTCTGGGCTCTGTGGCTTTTTAGTATGGGGTGGTGCTGTTTTGGAAAGCGGAGAGAGGAAAATATATAAACACTTCTACGTCATGAAAAAAACAGGTTGGTTAATGGTTATTGATGAATAGCAAATTCTTTGTGATTTATGACAGAACAAGTCAGCAGAGCATGGAGTCTTACAAAACACATGGGACAGGTTGAGTAAGCTCAGAGCCTGCGCTGGTTGGCAAGCTGGTAAAGTACAGATAATCCCAGTTAAATATCCTTAATTGTTATCCTTATTTATACATCTTTCATTGCTCAGGATCATGTTGCTGTTGTCATCTGGTGGCTATTAGAAGCACACTGGCGTTGCTACCAGAAGTCCTACATTTCTCGTAGGAAAAGGTGGTTTTCTCAGTGCCGTGCTATTTGTACTGGTGTGTAGTACCATCATGATTTCTTGTAATGTGTATAATACTGCCCAGTCAGCACTACCTGCTACTGGTATAACACTACCCAGTCACGTGCTGATCAGATGACAGTCGTGTCATTGCACTGCATTGGGCATTGGAAAAAAACCAAAGAGATGAGTTTTTCAGGGCGCTTGCTTTGTCATAAAATTTTATTATAACAGTAGAAAACCCCTTCAGATCGAATAAATGTCCAGGACATAACAGCAGGCTTTAAATCCACCCCTTAGGCTCCATCAAAGAACATCTGTGGTCATTTGTAATGCATATTTTACATCTTAAATCTGTAGCATGATTATAGCATGTGTGAGTACTGCTTGTCTACTCTGGACACTTGTCCTACTGTATATTCAAGAGAGGCATTCAAACAAGGCCTTGTGCTTGCTCGCCTGGACACTTGGGGTTCACCCTAGGTGAACCTTTGCTCTGAGCAAGAAGGAGCTGTGCTGAGCTGGTGTTTCTCAGCTGGAAGTGACGCATCACATCACAGTCCATTCAATTTTCCTCTTGTCCTTCATCTTATGGTGTTAGCTGCATCGACACTAAAAGCTTGGCTCGTCTGTTGAGCTCTGTGTGAATGTGTTTACGGGTGCTGGATCTTGGCAGTTGGGAGCCCTTGGGTTAAGAAACGGGATGAGCAGTGAGCCGGGGGTCTTCAGCTCTGACAAGTGAAATGAGTTCTCAGGTCTGGAGTTGCACCAGCAGCCATTTGAGTTGCAGCGGAAAAACTCCCATCTCTGCTTGTGTTGCACTTTTCACTGGGGAGCCCGGAGCTGCCTTGATATGTTGGCGTCTCCAGCTGTAGATGACTAAATGAAGCTGTGTGGGCTGCTGGCTGTCCGGCCAGACTGTCCCTGCTATCTCTTCCCATAAACACTGGAGCCTTTGTCTCTGGCCTTATCGTGCCCCTGCCATCACAGAGCCCTTTCTGTGCTCTCCTCCCAGCACAGCCTCTCTGTTCAGGGGTCTTTTCTTCAGCTGCTCTTTGTCTCCGGGTGTTTATTGTGCCTGCTGCAGAGTGTGTTTGTTTGGGAGAGAGGAGGAGGGGCTCCTGTTTGTGTGGGGTTTATAAACCTAGAGCATTCTTCAAAAGAGATGCTGAGCAAACTGGGTGGTGTTAATGTTAACCCTTCACTGCCCTGCTTTGCTGACAGCGCATCACTGCACCCAGATTTCCTTTGTGAAAAACGCCGTGGGGTTATGAAGTTGCTTGTGGTGTAGGGCAGACAGCCTGTTCCCCTTTTGGTCTTAACTGCCCTTTGATTTTCTGTGAATGCTGCACATGCGTATCAGCGAAGAGAGTCTCCCAAATGTGGGGAGATGTAATTGATTCTAGGATTTCCCCCCCAGAGTCCTTCTGGAACTTGTTTTTACTGCAAACACTGACTCGCTAGCCCTTTCTGTTTGCATAACTGGCCTGTGCATCCTGTTTATGTGGCTGCATCAGATGATATCTCTTCATTGTACCATAACTCAAAACTTTATGGCTTGGTACTTCAGGGCTTTTCCTTCTGAGTAAGGTCCCAAAACCAGGAATTTCTTAAATTCATAGTGTTGCCACTTGCAGTGGCATATAATACCTCCCCTTTGAACGAGCTGCTTTTTTTTTTTTTAACCAGTTTGTTAATACCTTTATGGTGAGGATGGCTCTTGTTTCTTCAGTACCAATGGTCCCATATTTCAAAAGAGAGCCTTGAAAGATGAAGATCAGCAGCTTGGAAACTTTATTTCCCTTGAAATCATATAATGCTTTGCCATTATGTTGGTTGGACACACCCCACTTCCCCAAGGAAAAAAAAGAAAAAAAATCCAAACAAACCAAAACAAAAAAAAACCAACCACCAAACCCCACCAAAACCAAAGAGAACAGCATCAACTTTCTAATTGCCTTTTGTTCTTCCTCTGTAAGAGGATGGGAATTTATAACATGAAAAATCTCTCATCCGTCTCTACAAGAAGCCACAGCAACACAGTTGTCTTAGTGTTAGAAATGTGAGGAGACAGTTTTGGATTTCACTGAATCTGCAGTCAGCATAAGTGTTTCAGACCTTTTTTTTATGATGATCTGCATAACTGGAGCATAATGCAAATACATTAGTTCCATATGTGATAAAATACTCGTGTGATAAAAGTACATTTCTTTTGCAAAGATGGTATCTTTTCCTAACTTACTGAACTTTTCCACAGAAATTAGTAGGCTTAAATTCAGCATTTGACAAAGTAGTGTAAAGTTGTTTTTTTTTTATTTTCAAATAATAAATATCTTGGTATTAGGGGTTGCAGTTCATGTACTGCAGCATCTACATATTATATTATTACACTGTGAAAAACTTCAGCAGACTGTTCCCTTGCGGGGGGTAGGAGAGGAAGAAATGCAAAATAATACAAGCCTTTGTGAAACATGAATCCACGCACTCAGTCATGACTAAACCTATTCAAACTCAGGTGTTTTTTCTGAGGCTGCTCTAGGCTCTAGCATTGTTGCCGTGTGACTTGTTTTCTTCATGAACTAACCCGATTTGCCTCACCTCTTTCTCTTTAAGGAACAGTTTCAGCTGCAAAGCGCACAGGGATTCCAGCACCCCGGGAAATATCATCATCTGTATCCAGAGAGAGAGCTGTACTGCGTGGTCAAACCAATACTAGGAAAACACAACCCAGCCCCACCTCTTCTGGTACACCGACTCCTACCAAACACGTGCGCCCCGCTAGCAAGTCCAAGCAAGAGAATGAAACTGGTGACAAGGCTGTTCTGGAATCTCAGGTTAAAGAACTCCTGGCAGAAGCAAAAACGAAAGATTCTGAAATAACCAAACTCCGTTGTGAATTGAAGAAATGCAAAGAGAAAGGGTCACTTAATGCTCAAGGAATGGGTGCTTCCAACCAAAATTCAGAACCAGTATCACCTGTTGACATAGATCCATTAATACGGACCCTTCAGGAAAAAAACAGGACTTTTCAAAAAGAGCTTGCTAGCCTGGGAGAAGAAAATCGTGTTTTGAAAGAGAAATTGCTTTATCTAGAGAACTCTCCTCTCTCAGACACAACAACAAGCAGTGGAGGTGACAGCAGCCTCCCAACCCCAACTACCCAAGAATCCAGTTTTGGAAGCCCATCAAAAAACACGTCGAGAACTGAAATGGATGAGCACAGGCAGCATGTGAACGGGGGCACACTGCGCAATTCAGGTTCTTCCAGCAGTGATGTAACTAAAGCTTCCTTGTCACCTGATGCATCTGATTTTGAGCATATAGCAGATGTACCTTCCAGGCCAACATCCTCCAACAGCAACCACTTCAAAGGTTCCAAATGCTCCACTACAGGAAGTTCTCCAAACAATATTAGTGACCTATCTGTTGCATCTCTTACAGAGAGAATACAAAAAATGGAGGAGAATCACCACAGCACAGCAGAAGAATTACAAGCCACTTTGCAGGAGCTGTCGGATCAACAGCAAATGGTGCAGGAGCTGACAACAGAAAACGAGAAGCTAGTGGAAGAGAAAGCTCTCCTTGAGACTTCCTTTCGTCAACATAGAGATAGAGCAGAACAGCTGAGCCAAGAAAATGAGAAGCTAATGACTCTCCTCCAAGAGCGATCCAAGAATGAAGAAAGCAGAGCTCAGGAGGGGAAGCTCCTTGAACTGGAACAGAAATGTGCAGAAGTTCTTGAAAAAGCACAATTTGAAAGAGAGAAATTGCTCAACATTCAGCAACAGTTAACCAGCAGCCTACGAAGCTTAGAAAGGGAGCATCAAGATGCCCAGCAGGTGATTAAAAGCCTGAGAGAAGAAAATGAGAAACTGCTTAAGCTTCTAGAAGTGGAACAGCAGAGCAACAGCACAGTGACAAAAACTCTGGAGGACTGTAAAATTGCCTTAGAAGGTCTAAAAATTGAGAATGGCTCTCTCAAAACTCAGTTAGAGAGTGAGAAACAAAAGGCCGCAGAAATCAATGCGATGGGATGCACTACTGACAACTCTGAGGTGCAAGAGATGCTGAAAGTAGCCCATGCAGAGAAGGATCAGTTAGAAGCATCTTGCACTGAGCTCAAACAAGAGCTGCTGAAGGCAAACAGTGAACTGAAGCACATTCAGGGTCTGCTATCTAAGGTAAAGCAGTAACAGCTGTAAAATATAATGGTTGTTTGTCTGTCCTTCCATGAATAGGTAATTGTTGCTCTTTAGATTTTGGTTTAAATGGATTAATCATTGGATTAAATGATCCGTGGATTATAAGTGTCCAGGATTTAAATTGCACAAGTTAGTTTTGAATGGAAGCAGGGGTCGTATGATACTGTCTCTGTTTATGCTGCTATATGCATATTTTCCCAGGAATAACTGTTAGCATAGCTACGTTCCCAAATTCAAAACTAATTTCCCCTAACATCGTCTGCAGAATTTACTGCTTTAGTAAATAGGATTTTGTTTATCAAAATTGGAGCAAAGGACAGGTCAATAAAAAAATTCTTTGATAGTATGTGAACAAATATTAGTGAAAATCACTTGGTAATCCAGATGGAGAGAAGGACGTGAGTAGTTAGAAGCAAATATTAAATTCTGAATAATTAATCATGATTAATTAGTAGCGATCTATAGGTGTCATTGATCATGAGAACACAAGGACATGAGCTCAGAGAAGCTGACATTTACAGCAGAGTGACTAATGATGCAGGGTCAAGCTCCAGATGAGGTTATTTTCATAAAACGAAAATATTTTTACAAAACTGAGGAGGATTCTGTTTTGGGATAGGTAAAGTAATGGAAAGAAATAATTTATTTCGGAACAATTTTGCTCCGCCTCATTTGGTAGTTGGTAGCTTTGCTCCAAGCAAGCTTAAGTCAGTTATGGTTTCTATTTTCTGGGTGATCCTGGATGTTCAGAAGAGAATTGCAGTGTGAGGCGTTACAGAACAAGTGTTAATAAAGCACAAGCCAGTGATTATGTCCCACCGCTGCAGAAAGAGTGATAGTGTGTGCAGCCTTTCCTGTACAGGGAAGTGATCATGAGAAGAACAGTAAAATTGGCTAGTTGCAGAGGAAGAGAGCATTGCCAAAAAGCACCTCCATGATTTGAATGATTTAGAAAATCCAGATGTCCTTTCAGCTGAAATAGGTGACCAGAGCAAATGGGCCTAGCAGAGGAAGCTCCCAAGTGCTTACTGGAGCTGCAGTTTATAAAGAATAAATGAAAAACTGCTGAGTGCTCAGACTGTACCAAACTTTTATTGCTTGGTTTGGAAACCACAGGTTTCCTCCTTTTTACTCTTCCTTTCCCTCAAATTAAGCTGTTTTGAATCATTGGCTATTTGTGACACCCAAACAAGACCACAGGCTTCTGTAAGGCTGCCCTTCAGTCAGGCTGTGCCAGTGCTGCTCACTGAATTGGCAGCCTACATCTTGCTTTTCCATGGCTTATTCATACTCAGGGATCTCCCCCGAAACCGGGAAGCATTGATCTGTGGGCCTGAGCCAACAAACTGAAGTGCAGCAGATTCCCCTTCAGTGATTCCAGATGTCCTATATCCAGAAATATACTTATCTGCAGTAACTAGCTCTACACGTATGTTTTCACAATCCATTGAAAATGCACATAGTAAAAGCAGCAAAATTGTTAACGTGGATGAACTGATTGTTGTCTTATCCCCAAGGCAGTGATATTACTCTCATAATGTGATACATAAATAGATATGGAGCTTTCCAGGAGCATAATTCCTCTCTGCTCATTACCTTCAGAGATTGGTTTGGAATTATGGTTATCATATAGAAAATTTAATTTCTTTTGTAGCATTTTGTTTTATTGTCTTTATTACCAGGGAAGAAAACTGACATTTGTAGCTCATCTGTTTCCTGAAACTGTCTCATTTGGGTTGAATCTCAGTTTATACAATGCTTAGAACACAGGTTCAATTCTTAAGTCCATGAGGTGCCCAGTAAAATCTCTAACGAGTGCTATCTTTTGAGAAATAAAGACAGACTTGCAGCTTGCTTTCCTCTCTTCCAGGCTGAGAATGAGTGTGGTCAGCTGAAGGAGATGTGTGACCGGCAGGCTGAGCAGCTTAGCAGAACCAGCCAGAAGCTGCAGGAAAAAACATCAGAGAACGAAGCAGATATAAAGAACCTGAAAGAGACTATTTTCGAGTTGGAGGACCAGGTGGAACAACATCGTGCTATAAAACTTCACAATAACCAGCTCATCAGTGACTTAGAAAGTAGGTGGAGCTGAAAAAGGGATTTAAGTGAACTTATTCAGGGGACTCAGGGCTGCAACGGAGAGGTGGCGGCATGCCTTGCTATGTGTGACAAGGGCCTCGCTTCAGAAATATTCCAATTCTGACCAGTCCTTTCTGTTCATGCACAAAAGTCGCTATTTTAACAGTTAGTGCTATAGAAATAATATTAGAGAGAGTCTCTAAACCTTATTCTTCAGCGAAGGATGCGTTGCCCATTCTAGAAACTGGAATTACTGGCCTTTTAAAGAGCTTTTAGGGAAAAGCGCTAGGGAGAGGTGGGAAGTCGAGGTTGCTGTCGCGGTGTGGAAGGGGAGCTGCCACCTGGTGGAACAAGGGGCACAATTCGCTTACCAGTGCTACCTCGGGTGCTCCAGGGGTGCGTGTACCAAGTAAGAGATCCTGCACTTGTGATTCTGTAAATTTAAAAGACTGGCTTAATGCCTCAAAATAATAACCTATTTCAGAGATGTTTGAGCAACAAATCTACTCTTGATTCCATTCCTGATCCGTTGACAGAGTGTCTTTGTTTCAGTTTAGTCTATTTAATGCTATTAGTAGAAGCAAAACCAAATAGTCTGCTTTGCCCTCCCGTTTTCAATTTTCACCCTTGCCCTTGTGTGTTTAATAATCTTTTACTTTTTTTTAACTGTTCGTAGGTAAAGCAATGAAGCTGGAAGAACAAAAACAAGATACAGAGAGGCAGCTGAAGGCTCTGACTAAGCAAATGAAGGTAAGGCTTAGACTCCATGACAAAGCTGAGATGAGCTTTTATTGCATTACTGTATTTGAGAGAAGTGTTGTATTTTTGTAGAACAATTGTAGGAAGTTCTTTCGATATCCTTTCATTCTCCATTCTCTTCACTCATTTCTAGCTGTTTCTTTGCCTGTGAAGGGAAAATATAATGCATCCTTTGCAAGTTACTTTAGCTTTTTCTACCTATGAATTTCTGCTATACTGGAACAGCTGTTCCTGCTTCATGGATTCTCAGTAGCAACGGGTTCTTTTCAGCAACAGTGCTTGTAGTAATATCACAAAACTGAATGATCAATAGCTGTAGGAAGAACTTTGTACTTTGTATTGGAGTGGAGAGCTTAGCATCAGTTTCTTTGGCAATGCCGTTGGTACTGTATAAAGAGGCAAGTATTTAGTTTAATCTTGGCGTTATCTTAAAATTGTTGTGAAATCCTGGTCGCTTGTGATCACTGAAGGAGATCAATAACTAAGTGCTCAGCTCAAGTAGGTGTATTTTTACATCAAACAGTTAGGGGTTCTGATTGCTCTTTCTAGGAAGATACAGAAGAGTGGAGGCGTTTTCAAGCTGATCTGCAGACTGCGGTGGTTGTAGCCAATGATATTAAGTGTGAAGCCCAGCAGGAGCTCCGTGTGGTAAAAAGGAAGCTTCAGGAGGAGGAGGAGAAGAGTGCCAGACTGCAGAAGGAGCTGGATGAAGTGAAGGGCAGCAACAGGTTAGTTACATACAAAGGCCAAGATTTGATTTCTGTGACTGCTAACGTGCATGCAAACAGTGCTTTGTCAATAACTATTCATTGGCTTGGATGTGCATGTTGTCTGTTTTTAACTCTTCTGACAGATTTTGTTGTCTTTTATTCTAAGATGTTTCTGTTCTTTTTCTTTTGGCAATCTAGTTCTGTCAACTAAGCCATGAAGGTTTTAATCAGCAAATACTAAGTAACAACAATTGCCAATATTCTCTTATAGCTTTGTTCTCAGTATGGTATTTCACTGTGTTTTATTGCCTTCATAACTCTCTGTGCAGCTGTATTAAACCATCTGTGAAAAGATTCGTTCGCTACATATATTTGGTGGGACATCAGACGAGAACTACTTAACCTGAGAGGAGTCAAGTACTGTATATGTTCAAAGTAAAATGAGGACTAGCTGGACTTGTTTGTTCTGCAAGTCACATGTTGACTGAGCGATCAATGAAAGGACTAGGATTCCTCATCTCACACCTCCTGTCCTTAATTTGGCACCTATTATGTGATTAGCTGTGTTAAATGGTCTGGACTATGGCCTGGGTTAGCACTTAGCCCAGAAGTGACTTCGTCATGCAGTGAACCCACCTGTAAAACAATTGCTGTAGTCTCGATGGATGGAGGGGGAAGAGTAGTTGTGAACCATTCAGAGATACACCCCAACATGGTAAGCTGTACATGTGGGCCTTCCCTCTGTGGGAGCATGTAAGAACAAAAGTGACTTCTACAACTGAATTGGGAACCAGTCCAGGTGCCTTACAGTGTGGCTTCTATGCAGTGCGTGACCTTTTATGTACCATCTTTAATTCCAACAATCGTACTACAATTGAAGTACTAAATAAGCAGAGATGGAAAACAAAAGATGTATTAAAAGGAAGAATCAAAATTTCTGAAGACAGCGCCTTGCTTCTTTTGCACTGATGCTGACAGAGCCAGCAGAGCTGCAATGATGAAAATTTGTACAGGGGGAATGAAGAAAGACAAAATAACACCAACAGTGGTACTGTTTATCAAAAATGTGTGCCAAATTAATTTTGCTCCTCTACATTTTTCCATTTAATCTCTCTCCTAGTAGATTCATGGCCACTGGTAGAATAGCCACAGAAACATGGTGAATCCTGTCATTTCTTTCAGGTGGAGTAACAGTCCAGCTTTATGTTGCACATATCTGCTCACCGTTTTCTATTCAGGAGTTTCCAGAGCAGCTAGCTGTACGGTAGATGGGAGTAAAAAGATGCAAGGGCTTTTGTGCAGAGGTGTATGAATCAGAATTCCTGGATAAAAGAAACAGAAATACTTTTTTTCCAGAAAAATAATGTGTTTAAGCTGCAGTTTCATTATCAAAGTCCCCAGTGGAAGCAAAGAAAAGCTATTACAGACTATGTATTCAAACAAAATGATTACCAGACAGTACTTAAGTTCTGGGCTCTGTTTCCATTCTTAATTTGTTCTTAATGAAATTTCTCTTGTTTAGAGCAGGGTCCATATATAAGGGCAGGAATCATATATTTGTAGTTTCCCCTCTTTATTTTCTGGTTTTTAATCTGAAGATGTATTTGATAATACTTAAAGTGAATAGAAGATGATCTGCTAATTTGCAAATTGAGATGTTTGTCTTCCATGTATAAGGAGCATGGCTGCATTGTCAGCTCTTTGGCATCAGAAGCCTGAGCTGCAAATACTGCTTTTGAAATTAGATCACCAGAATCCATACAGACATAGTTCCAGAAGGAGGTATTCAGACATGTATTTAAGTCAGTTTTGGCATTTGTGTCTCCCTCCCTTTCACATACATATAGATATATGTCTGTCTTTGCGTCATGTTGACTATCTGTATAGCTTGCTTTGAGTATTACATTGGTCGTGGAGCCAAATATACTGTCTGCAGTGGGCAATATTTATTCCTTTCCAAAGACAAGTGCTGAGACCAAATTTTGCATCTGTCAATTTAAGTATAACTTATTTGACTCGCGGTGTCTATGCAGAGAGTGCAAAATTTCTGTACTGAGCGGTATGGAGAAGGTAATGAAGCCTGCATAAGTCATTGTATAAACACACCAGTGATCAACAGCTAAGCACTGAAGTTTTAAAACTGTACTGACCTATAAAACAAATTCTTGAAGCTGCCAAAGCTCCTGCTGAGCGCCAGTTCTCCACTCCCAGTTCTTTGCATTCCTGAGGTCACTATCTTCCCCAGCACCTCAGCTTCTTTCACCCAGAAAGTTCTGGTGATATTCCATTGTTGCTTTTAGTCAACTCTCACAAATGCTGCTGCCTAGAATCAGCAGTAGATTCTGGTACCTGTGGTGACTTTTAATGCATGCTCAGCACTGGTGGAAACAGTTTGTAGCATGATACCTTAACACAGTCTATAAAGTATTCCTCATATTTGCTAATGCTGAGCAGCTGTGCACTCAGCTGAATATCTGACAGTCCTTAGGGAAAGTTTCCTGTCTGATTTTTAAGCTCTGATTGGAAAACGTACCTTCCAAATAGCTTGCTACTCAAAGGTTTTTGGCAAAATCTCTATCTCTTGGGGGTCATTAGACTCCACCTCATAAATTGATCTTGAAGCCAATTTATCTCCTACGACATCCTGCCATTTTAATGTTTGCCTGTGGCTGCCTGAGTTCCTGCCTCCAAGCTTGATTTCACCGTTACAGTCTTCTAATCAGACAAAAAGTCATTTTTGGTTCAGGAACAGCCAAAGAACTTGCAGAAAAAATCCTGATGAGGTCATCAGAGTTCATCTGAATGAAGGTAAGCGCCTCCCAAAGGCATCTTTAACACAGATTAAATGTCTAATTCTATGACTAAGAATGTTGGGGGGGGAGGTTGGACCAGCATCAAACAAATGGAATAAGGAATAGGAGTTAATTTGTCCCAAGTTAATACTGATTGAAACCTGTGAATTGATTAACCCATGTTTCAGACAGTCTTCTGTGATATTTTACATCCTAATTAATTTATCTGCAGGAAAATGCAAAAGTTACAATACACTGTTCTGTAACTGTCTCCTCACAGGTGGTAGAAATTGAAATTATATAGTCTTTATCCTTGGAGGTTTTCAAGATCAGACAGGATAAGACCCTGAGTAACCTGGTCTGACCTTGTAGTGCCCCTGCTTTGAGCAGGGAGTTAAACCAGGTGAATTCCTGAGGTCCCTTCCACCCTGAATTATCCTATGATCCTATAGCAAGTTTCATCTTTACAGAATGTTCATCTTGGAAATAAATTCACTTCTGTAGCTGTTTTAGGATCAAATATTTGAGTGGGGAAGAAAAATGCTATATTGGGTTTGTGTCACAAAGGAAGAAAGTTATTGCTGAAAGTACCCAAATTATGGGCGGCTCTTTTTGGCTTCATTACACACCCATTTCCAAGCCTTTCTGACAATACACTGTTTAGCAGCAGTGAAAGTTTCAAAGTCTTGCTTTGACTCTTTCCCTTCAAGTTCTCCAAATGATTTTGGCGCTATAACATTGTGTATCTTGAACCAAGAACATGGAGGGAAGGCAGTTGGGCTGGCAGGGAGTAGTACTAAGAAAATAGAGAAATTATATCTGTATTTAAATGAGTGACTACTTAGAATAGTAAAAAAAAAAATTAACCAAATCTTCAAATGGAAGCCTAAAGTGAAGATTGTGATGTATCCCACTAATTTGCTTCTGTCCTTCCTCTTAAAGTCTCAAATGCCACAGCATGGCAGTGTTACATGCTTTTTCTCCTGGAAATAAGCTTGTACTCTGTGTATTAAACCCTGCTGTCAGTCTGTATGTGCTGATGTGCTGCTCATTTGTGCCTGTGTTTTGCAGCTGTTCTGTCTTATAGAGGTTTGGTAGTTCATTCTGCTCTTGTTGAAAGTAAGCAAATGTCAGAGCAGGGTCCTTGAAGTGCTGTTTGTTTGCTCTAGTTAGTGACTCCTCAGAGTTGTGGTTTGGTTTTGTGGGTAGTTTTTTTTTGTTTGTTTGTTTGTTTTTTTTTAACACTGGATGGCGATTATTCCATCCCCTTTGGCATAAGGACCCTGAAACAGAAACTCTGAGGTAGAGCAACTGTAGTTGCCTGGATGGGTTCATGAACCCATTTTGAATGAATGGTCCTAAATGATTAGAGGAGAGGAAAGCCAGGAACACCACTGTCCCTGTCCTTTGAAACTGGTTTCCTGGCTTTAAGTACTTAATTTCTTCCCAAGCAACACAGATATCTTTTTTTTTTTTTTCTTTTGTATTTTGAATTGTTGTTTGCTTATTATGTCCCAAAGCTGAGTCAGTGGAGTGTTAAGGCACTCCCTTTAACCGTCCTAGCAACACCATCAGCATTTTCCCCTGTCCCCTTTATTTAGTGATAATGGGATGATTAACTGTAAAATAGAGAGCTGTACCTCAGGATGGGCATTGTATTGCTTCTTATAACTTCCCTGATTGTTGTCTCTATCTCCATAGGTGCCTGATCCCTACCAGCTAACACAGCCCTGAATGGATGCATAGCCAGGCCTGTGAGACACTTCAGGACATACCTTCAACTTGCAGCTGCAAAAGGGAAGTTTCAATTTGAGAAAGCAACTCCAGTTTTTTATTGCCCTGCAAAAGTCCAGTGTATCGCAAAGTGTGAATGCTGCTCAGGTCCACCTCCTCCCCATGGGCAAGAGCTAATTCCTTTGTTTCAGACGGCTTCTCTCTTCAGAAGACTCCATGAGGCGGAAAAAGTTCTGAATTAGTCTAAAGCCAACTAGGCCATAAGAAGTAAACACAGAGATCTGGGCAACTGAAAGAATTGGAGCTCTTTTGGAGGGATGGGGCTATTTGCCCTGAAATAGAAATTCAAACATGCCATTTTAAGCTTCAGGAAAAAATAAAATTATGAATGTGTATGTCTGATTTCTGAAATTTAATGTGCATACACATTTTGAGTTGTCTGTATAGTAGTATATTCATAGATCTATCTGTGTGTGTGTAAATACACATGCATACAGATCAGTACGTATGCAAACACACACAAACTCAAGCGATAGGTTACTGAAATCCAGCAGGAAAACTGAATAGAAATGTGAAGTTATTTATTCAGTATCAGCTGCTTTGATGGTTTCCGATTTTTAATACTGTATTGACAAGGGACTCGCCACTGGGTGGCAGGTCTGACTCGGTGTGTGTTAGGAAGCGGGGTGGTGCCCAAGGAGCATGTCCTGCTATGACTTTCACAGAGAATGTCCCATGTGAGGTTTGTCCTGGCTGTGAGAATCGCAGATTGAGAGATCAGAAGGAAAATAGATGAATATATCAAGCCCTTAGTAAATATCCTCTCAGAAAGGAGTTTTTCTCATGCTCTTAACTCAGGTGAAGTATATGATGATCAGGGAGAACTTGCTGAAGTTCAGCTTTTACAACTGGAGACACCTGGAGAGACCTTGACTTGGATGCTAAGGAGAAACTCAGAAGTCACCATCTCTACCAGGAGATCATCAGGATTCGTTCCAGGACTGGAATTTCATGTTTTGGCTGTCAGATTCCCATCCTTTCCTTTTGGATGTGAAGACCTAGCAAGGGCCTGGTCTCGGAGCAGGCTGAGCTAGCAGAGAATTCTGCGGGATGTCCTGGCTTTGGCATGGCCTTCACCTTTGTGCCGTGCTACTGGAGTGTATGCATATACGCACACTTGTGTTGCCTTTCTTTTCTGTGCTGGCAGCTGTTGAATGTTGGTTTTTATGTTTAAGAAATATATATTGAAGTGCCAAATAAATGTTTAAGTGTCTGGAATTGTCTGCTGCCTGCCCCTGGCCTCTCTTCTGTTCTGTGCATCAGTAGCTGTGTGTCTATTCTTGGTGTTCCTTACAGTTCAGGAGGATTCACAACAATGACAGGAACTGTGTCAAAGACCAGATTGCAGAGTAATTATTTCTGAAAATATGGTTCTGTGGTCCTGGGCCACCTGTAATGAAGAGGTCACTGGAGCAGTTTAGAAATTTCACAAACACGTGAAGGCTGCTGTTGCCACAATCTATACATTAAGCACAGAAAGACTTGCGCCTTGTTGGCGGTCTGTCCACGTATTCGAAACCTGGAAAACAAGGACACTAAGTCTTGCCATTAGAGAAAAGCTCACTGCGTCTACTTCTCTCACCAACGAATGAATGAAACTAGGCAGTGGTTTTGTGAAAAGGAATGCACATTTTAATTCCTTTGTGGTTAAAGTGCTCTGCTTCCTCCTGGAGCTGCTCCACTTAAGCCAGCTGCACTTGCAGCGTTTATCTAAGCCATTCATTCTTGTTTCGAGGAAAGCATACAGCAGTAGATGACACTTTGCTCAAATCCATCCTTTTTGTAGCAAATCTTGCTTAGTCGTCTTGGATGGCCTAAGCTATACTAAGCTGAATAAATTCTGTGCGCAAGGAGTCATTTTGTTATGGCTTGTCTGTAAGTCATCTTCTCCAATACTGTCCTCCTGAATTAGCTTGCTCCTGCAAGTTAAGCTTTTACTCTTCTGCTTCTCTATTAAGAAACCCATATATGTACACATATGTTCATCCCCTTATCATACAGATTTTTCTTTTTAAAAATAGAAGGTACTTGCCAAGTGTCACAACTCTCCATTGCTTGTTGGCTGGCATGTGTGGTTTTAGTTGAAGCACTATTCTTCCTGCCTTTCTTGCCGAGGTTTGCAGCATGAGAGGCCTCAGTTTTCTGATGTGATTCTGTTTAATCTAGGAGGTTGTTTCAGGGTGCATTAGAAGCCTATTACAGATATGCATACTTAAGATTACAGGAAGCATCCTAACAAAATTGGAACCGGTAGTGTCTCCAGCCCTTGATTCTTCATAATTACTCTGTACAATGACAGAATAATGGCATGTGATTTCTCAATTGACTTTTCTGTGACACGGCAGAGGGGCTGGTCTAGTTACTCTCACTTTATTTAACATGTTTGCATCCTTTTGCAGTCAAAGGCTAGGCTGAGGAGGACTAGTCTGTGAGGTCTGAGCTGTTCTCAAAAGCTAAATCCTAACCACTGAAGTGATGGCTGCCTAGAGCATACCTCTGGCTTGCCTTAAGATTTACCAGTTGGCCTAAAGGGATTTACTATTCCTTTCTTACTCTGATAATACTCCGCAAACCTCATGCATACCCTTGTTACTTGGATAACTAGACAGAACTCTTGCATAGTGGCCAATTTAATTCTTGACGGTGTAATGGGTTGCATTGGGTGATTTGGCATCTTGAGGCAGAAATCTATCCTTCCTCCATACTTCAGTAGAAGCAGGACTCCTTTAGCTTTTGTGTTTTCATATAACTAAAGTGCAGATGTTATCACCTGTTGATTTATTGCTTATACTTTATGAAGCCAAGGAAGAAAAAGTGAAAGGTAGAGCATAAAGTTAGTCAGCAAAACACTGGCTCCTTCAGAGCTCAGTGAATCTTACCCAATCTGCCTTTCCTCCTTATTGGATTAAATGGAGAATGGAACTGAAATGGCTTTTTCTCTAGCCATCTGCCTCTGCAGGCTCCCCTGGCACACGAGGAGCTTGAATGAATTAGCAAAGAAACAGCCAATGTCTGTTTAAAGACAGCACCTTCTTAAGCTCTGCCAAAAATAGAAACATGAGTCACTCTTATTCTCTTATTCATTGGCATCCTTTAGCCCCTTGCATTTTGTAGACTATGATGCCAAAAGGGAAAGAAAAAGACTCTGATTTCTATTTTTAGCTCAACAGAAGTTGTTCAACCCCATGGGCACTTCTGGATGGAGTCCTCCAGCCTTATGAAATAATTTCTGGTTTTGTGTTTACATAGCTCTTGGTGCCTACTGTACTTAAAAGTAGGGAAAAGTGGTTGATACCTCAGAACCTGTAGATCAGCATGCATTTCTTAAGCAGCTAGGAGATCAGGAAAGTAATGTATAAATACTCTCTTTTTCCATGACTAGATTTTGTTATCTGATTGCAGCTTTCCTAAACTAAAGCTAGGTAATTACACTCGAAGTCTGAGAGCTGCTGGGTAAGTACAGTGTCAGTGCTAAGCAATGTCAGTCAGATCTGTAAAATGCACGACTAGAAGCAACAGTTATACTGTATGATTACATTTGCTGTTTAACGCATCTGTGGACTTTCCTGTACTAATTCCTGTAAGTCCAGCACCTAATCTTGACTTTTTTTTCTTTTCAATGGAATAACTTAATGATCCTTCCTGTTAAAATACGAGCTTTTGAGTTTGTCTATCTTCATTCCAGAATTTTGGTATTGTGTCTGGTAGGATGAAGCACTTAACAGTTTTGTTCCCCATATAACTCCTTATGGATTGTGATTGAGGGTTTACTTGTTCAGCAGTGTCCTTGTTGATAAGCTCTAAGAGTTGAGCTTACAAAGTCTTTCATTATGAAGTATATTTTCTGGTTTAATTTTTATGACGCTTATCTGAACCCTGTCTGATTACTTATTTTATTTTCAATTATGGCATTTTAACTGGTAACAATTACTCCAGCAGTGGTTGCGCCAATTAAAAACACAGAGTGTAAATAACATCTTTCTCTTTGGTTACTTTCCTCATTATACACTGAGGACCACAGTAGCCGCTTGGCCCCTGTGCTGTATTGAAAGCCCATCTTCAGGTAATTATTGATGAATACTCACAAGTCTCATCAAACTGCTTTTTTCTATCATAATCCTCCATCCTGTGTGAGGATGGGTAATGGGGATGATACAGTTAACAATGCAGTAAAGTTTGTTAGACTCAATGATTTAATGTTTGCCAGGTGCTTCAAGAAAAGAACATGAACATTCTAATGAGCGGTCCGTGTTCTGGGCATTACAATAAAAGATGCGCGTCGTTGGAATTGCCTTACGACATATATAGACCTTTAATCTCTGCTTGTACTTCCTGTTGCCCCTGACTTTGATCTGGTTTCTGCTTTGCAGGCTGACAGCTGAAGAGGTAGAATCCCTAGAGGCAGATACAACCAACCGCTGGCAAGGAGTCTGCATTAGTAGAGCGTCTCCCACACCGTCAGAATCTGCAGCCACTGTGAAGTCACTGATAAAATCATTTGACTTAGGATGCTCAGGTATTTGAACACTATATTTTGTAGGAAAAAAAATTTCTAGCAGTGAGCAGGTGATTTTTGTCATTTTGTGCTGCTTATTGCTTCTTAATGGATATTTTGTGTCAGTGCTTGGTATATAAATGCTATCTGTGGGATGTCACTACACTAGCAGTTCCCTGTTTTGACAAGAGGGAGATAGTTGGGTTTGAAATGCAAATGTTTCCACATTCTTTTCCTTGCAGGTAGCACTGGACAAAATATCACGGTTCACAAGGTCCCCAGGAGCCCTCTAAGTGGAATTCCAGTGAGGACAGCCCCAGCAGCTGCTGTTTCCCCCATGCAGGTACAAGGAGCTCTTTCCATCCTTATCGTTAAAATGGGTAGATGCAGTGTTTGCTACAGCATGACGTAGCTTCATCATTCCAACACGCATATGTTAACAAGGGGAAGGGGAAACTCATCTGTTTGTTTGCTGTGAAACATCAAATGCTGTAGTACTAACAAAAAGGATCAAAGTGAGTTTGTCTTTGACTTCAGCTTAGACGTCTCAGTGGACGGATGTGAACTCTTTGGAATACAATTCTGAACTTTAATCACTGTTGACCAGAAAATAGGTTTCGATTATTGGGACTGAGTTACAAGAAACATCAAACTAAACTAAGTATCTGGCATGTGAGTTGAAAGGCATGTGATAATAAGTTTCTAAGATGTATGCTCCCAGTTACCCACTAAGTTCATACAGTGCTGAATTAAGAGCTCTCACAGTTTGGGGTTTTTCCTACTGAAGCATAACTGCTCTGGAATGTAGTACTTTATATGTCACTGCACCAGTTAGTTAACTTTCTCTTAGCAATTTTCAAATCTGTGGTGCAATGTTATTGGAAATACTGCTTTTGTGAACGATGGAGAAGCAAATGCACTGTGCTTCCCAACTTTCACGCATGCTGAAGGTGGCATACCATCAGATTGCTAACCTTTTTAGGCTAGAGAAGCCACTGTATGTTTTTTGACTGGTGGTCACTGGATTTAAAACGGAATATTCCCCTCTGAATCTGGGTAAAAAAACAGTTGCAAGGCAGGGGTGTTTAGGTGAGTGTTCTGAAGAATCAGATGACTTTGAAAGACTCCTTAATGAATGTGTGAGCAAACTGCCTTCAAAGAATCAGCAAAGAAAGTTTAAAGAATGGGATTAAACAGAACTCTGGGAACCTTCTATTAATGCCTGGCGAAGGGGGTACTTGTGTTGAAAAGTGGTGCTGGGGCTGCAGAAACAAGAATCTTTCTGACTTATGATTTGGGGTCTGGGGACAGAGGCAGGGTTAGGAACAGGCATTCTTACTTTGGGTTTGTGACACTAGATTATGTTTGGCAAGAGGAAAAATTGGTGCAAATAGAAATGCGGTTCAGGAACCGATATGTTACCAGCTAAAAATATTGTCCCTTTGTCCTTTTATTTTTCACAACCATTTATCCAGCTCTAGGTACAGCTGATACCTAACTGAAAGGTTTTTATATCCCTCTACCTGCTTTGTGATCTTAAGATAGTAACAACGTCTCTTTTTCCTGCTTGCCTATTTAAGCACAATGGATAGTATTTTTTTAATTGTCTTTTGTATGTTTGTTTGTTTCACAGAGACATTCTGTTTATAATAATGCCAAGCCAGCCAGCAAAGGCATTGCCAGACACACAGATCTCTCAGACCTTCCTCTTGCAGGTAATTTGCAGTAAATGTACAAATGTTGCCTCTTGTCACTAGCAAAAGCTTGCCATTAACTGTAGGACTCTGCCTGGGCCATTTTTCCTCTTCCCGTATGGTCAAAGGAAGTATGAAAAGTGTCTTCAGAGTCTTTGTTTTGGAGAGCTTAATAATTTTGTCATGTTTCCATTCCCATCTTGATTGTAGCCTTAGAAAACTAAAAAATAGCTAATTTATTATGGTTTGCCAACACAAACTTGCCTTCTTTATTCCAAAGTATCCATGGCACCTCTCTAATCCATGCTGTGGAACTGGAGAGGATTGGATTTTGTTCAACATGTATGCATCTGGAACAAGTCCAAAGCACTGTCTTTTGAGGGTTTATTTGTTTTTAAATTGAGCCTCATTTGAAATACATCAAACATTTCAGATACCGATGTGACTGTTCTAGGAGCAGTCATATTTGGGCTTGAAATAGTTTGTTTTGAGAGTTCTCAAGACATGCGTTTGTTTTTATTTCACACTTTGCTTTTGTTCTCTTGTCATTTAATATTCTTTTCTACCAGTGTTTCTTTCCCATTTTCTCTAGGGCCCTTTATTTTGGTTATCTAGTCCTGAATGTAGTTGTTGCATTGGGATCAAAGCTAGTAACAACAGATTATTGAATTTTTAAGGACAGATGAAATATTATATTCCTTTAGTGAAACCTCAGTGAAACTGCGGGGAGAGACAAAAAAAAAATCAGTCATAACTTGTTCATCGGTAGACTGTTTTCTGCAACAGTTTGCTAGTACAGGAGAGAAACCTGTCTTCATTTTCAGGCTGCTCAGATAATCTGCTAAACTTCTTCCATCATTCAAAGATGAAGAGATACTGGAAATGAACAGCAAACCAGGTTATAGGGTAGATGGCAGCATAAACAAATAACGTCTTGTCTGTGCTACTGGCTTTTCCTGCAGGAGTAAATGCTAAACAAGCAGAAGTTATCAGTGGAACAGGCAATTTACTTATTAGAATCACTTGATTTCCAGAAGATGTCTTGCATGACAGTATACTCTGATCCTAAACAGAAAATAAGACCGTTTTAGTATCTACCAGTTTACTGTAGAGTGAAGTAATCTGTCAACTGTGTAATAGAATGCCAGTCCTCAATAATAAATATCCTACTTCAGGCCATGAATAATTACTGTTATTACCCATAGATAATTGTTCTGTGAAAATCTGTTGAAATCAACAGATAGTTTATTAGCCATTGTATGGTAAAAATTTTATGTTTGCTTATCTAACAAGTTCCTGTATTTACAGCTTCTCTTTGTACCTGGGTTTAATTTAGTTCCAGTAATCCATAGCAAAGGCTTACTCACTATAAAGTTGTAATAGCTCTGGTTCCAATCTAAATAATCCTAGAAGGCAGTTGATCCAAGCCCTATGCAAACAACACTGAATTAAAAAATATCCCCAAGGAAATTCAGAGTGAAGTAGTCTCCATAATAATAATCTTCTGGCTGATTCCATCTGACCAGTATCACAGCAGGGTTCTGTGATGTCCTCAATATGACCCAAATGTTACATCGTTGGAGAGGACAATGGATTACTTTGCAGAGAGAGCTGATCTTTGGCTATGATTTTTTCATTTAGAATCAGAGGTTTACTCGTTCTGTCCTGGAGTTTCTAGCAGCCAGAAATAAGTCACAGGAAGTGTATTACTCATGCAAGTGAGACTCAAAGTACAGAACTGGATACTGTTAAGTTGCACCACTTCAGGCATTACTGTATAATTCAAGCCAGTAACCACAAAGTTTTTTAAAAGGGCAAATAGATAGTACTAACAGAATGTGATTCTCCTTAATCACGTTGCCTATTTTCATACCTTTATTTTCCTGTTTCTCTTTCCAAATGACTCCTAATATGCCCTCATCTTCTCCTTCTTTTCTCTCCAGCTAGATGCTTCCTTTATTCCTATCTGGGATCCTTCCTTCCTTCTTCCTTTTTCTGTACCGTGCACGAACACATCCTGAATGATTGGCACAAGACTTCCTAACTGGACTGCGCTATTAGCCAGTCTAATTATGTTAACAACAATCTAGTAGTGGGGTTTGTTATTTTGGGGTGGGTTTTTTTCCTAGATGCCTTTTGTGGTAGATAGGTTTCTCTAAGCAGAATATTCCTAAATTTAAAATGGTCCCAAAAATCATTCATTGGATGCCCTTGATTGGTGTGGCTTTTCAAATTTGAGGCAATTCCCCATAAATTCAACCTAATGAGGATCAAGGAAAATCATACACATTTGGAATATGTAGTGGAAAACCAACAGAAAGGCTTTTAAAAAGTATGCTGTGTGCTATTCTCCTTTGTTATGGATTCCTGATGGACACAAAGAAGGTACAGGTGATTGGAAGGAAGGATGACCCTGGCTGAGCAAGGTGTATTCAATCCAATGCAACAAAGCTCTGCCAACAGCCAAGTCGCTGGAAAGGAGACAGCCTCCTGGGACTGGATTCTGTCCTTTTCCATCTGGACTTTTTAATAGAAAGGAACCTAACAGCCCTTTATGCTGTGGAAAGAAGGTGCAGAGTTGTCTATAGCTCTCAGCAGCTGCAAATGCTGATTTAGTCTTAGGAAATTCAGGAGCCGAAGCAAGGGCAGCTGCATGCCTGTTGGAAGGATGTGTTTATCTGACAACTGCTGATACACACGCACCCCAGTTACTGCTGAAAAGAAATTCAGGACTGATTCAGTGATACTAGCCTTTGCTGAAGGTGAAATAAGGTGTGAAATAAGAGTTCACACCTCTAGGTGATATGGCATTAATTGAGAATTAACATAGGGAGGTAACTGAGATAATTTAATTTTGGGGATAATTTGATTTCTATGATCTCTTTGGCTTGTCTTCAAAAACCTGTCAATATTGGATTCTATGGCTACTAATTTTGTTGATTTTCTTTTCTTGTTATATATATGTACACATATATAAATAAATATAATGAAATATATAAAAATATGTAATATGTGTAATAAAAATGCAGATGCATCTGCTATGAATGTATTAAGACTTCCCAAAGTCCTGTTAGATAGGATGCCAAGCATCATGTGGTAATAAGTGCTTTTTACTGCTGCTTTGAGCTGGGTTGTATTCAGGAGACAAGAGACTTTCTTGTTATAAGTCTGCTAGTGGCAGAAAAGAAATTATTGTACTAGGGCTGGTCAGTCATCTGGTGAAGATATCTGGCGATCAGCTTTTGAACCTTTAAGACTGTAGATTTTGGTATTTCCCCTCATTCACCTGAGGCCCCTACCCCCCAGCAGGAGTATCAATCACAGGAAACCAGGCAGTCTTTACTGTTTAAATCATCAAAGCCGTTCCTTGTTATGATCACCTCTAATCTGCTCAAGGTTTCCTAGCCCCATGTGTGCTTAATGAACAAATGAGTACATTTGTTTAGAATCAAAACAACAGACTACATATTGTGTGCTGGGTGGCAGGACAGTGATTAATCAAATTCCGCAGGCTACAAACTGACAGTTTTTTGGGTTTTTTTGATTCCCACAGATCTTCTGAAGGGGAGAAATGAAGAGCTGAAACCAGACCATTACCTCCGTAAAAGCCCCTCCCTGGAATCCCTGAGCAAACCCCCTATGGCCTTCAGCAGCAGAATGCTTGCCTCTACCCCCAGCAGCTTGAAACCCCAAAGCAAGCTCAGGTACCAGCTCAGTTTCCTGGGAAAAACTGCACACTGGAAACGTTGACAGCTTTACCTGACACCAAGATGAATGATTTAATCTGGTGGATCCCTATCTCCAGTGGAAACGCTGCTAGCTCATCTGTCTGGTTCAGAATTACCAGGCTGTGTCAGATCTAAATATCAAAATTCAGATCATAATAGCCACAATTATCTATAAGATGAGCAGTCATGACAAAACTAGGATAGCAAGTTTTCAGGAGCTACTCAGTTGGATACAAGAATTCCATGATATACGAGTGCTCAGCCCGCATTGTCTTACTGTAGCTTTGCACAGAATCATAGAATCGCGTGTTGGGATGAGTTAAAAACTAAAAACTTCGAGGTCTAAGGGAAAGCTGAACACATAATTTTCTTCTGTCTTGAGAAAAACATACATGTTTTCCACTGTTGTTTCCAACAGTAGAGGCTGTAGGGTGGAGACAATGCGGGTGTTTTGATTGTTGGCCTTTAACTGTCCTCTAGGCCTTGACTGCAATACAGCTTCCAGAATGGTCAGTTTATTCAAGAATTTGTTCTGCAGCAGCTCAACTAAATGTGAATTTGCTGTTACAGATTCTTTAGACAGTTTCTTTCAATTGTACGCCCTAAGTCCTAGCTTTCAATGTGTGAAGCAAAGAGGTTACTTGAAAAATTAGGAAGAAAAGTTGATGAAAATAATAGCAGAAATGCTGGGTTCACGTATGCCATAGGCTGCTGGTTTTTCAGGTCTTTTGTATGTAGTAATACCGACTGAATTTGTCTCATCTAAAGGCAAATATAGAATGCAAGCTCTGAAAGCTATTGCAGTTTGTTTTACATTTAGGTTCTGTGCTGCCATTCTGCTTTGTCATACAGATATTATTTACACACTGGTAGAAACTAAGAGACTTCAAACATATTTATCTTTTTTTCCCTTATGCTTCCCTGGATTAGTGTGGAGAGAAAGGACCCACTGGCAGCCCTGGCTCGGGAGTATGGTGGTTCGAAGAGGAATGCTCTGTTGAAATGGTGCCAAAAGAAGACCGAAGGTTACCAGGTAAGGGAATAGGTACATTTTTACTTTTTATTCTGGTGAGAAATTCATCACTTTCTTGTAGGTGTGCAGTAAGCAATGTCACTTCAAAGAAATATGTGTATTTCAGTCTGCTGATTTTTGCATGTTTACTTCTACTGGGTGTTTCCATCCTCTTCCTTCATATTTCTTTAACACTGCAGTCCCCAATGTTATATTTTCGTAAGTAATTGGAATACAAACCCCAAAATATTTATGGCCTCAAAGGTCGTTGATGATGAGAAACAGAGTGTATATGAGCAGCAGCTTCAGTTTGGCACCAATTTTTGATATTACATTCTAACATTTTTTTCTATAGGCTTCTGTGGGCAATGTGCTATTGTAAGAGTTTTTTCCATTGGTCTTTTCTGTAAAACCAAAGAAATATTTCTTTGTGTGGCCTTGACTAAATAAGGTTTGCAGCTTGGGACCCCGCTCTTTCTGATCTGCTGCAGCTTAACAGGATTTTGCAAAGCAAGTTTTGACTGCTTGAGAACGTCTCATTTCTTTGCAGAGTGATTTTCACTGTTAAACAGACATAATGATTTGCCCAGTTCTTGTATGGCTGTTGCTGTGCTTATCAAGCTCTGGTTAGTGTTTGTATGTAGCTGAGTTAGGCCTTTAGTTCTGCGTGTAACTGAGCTGTAGAAAGCAGTTATAGACAACAGTTCATCCTGTGATATATGCTGGGTGTGCAGGATGGCCTTGGTCTGATATAATGTTGAGATTTTTCTTAAGAATAATATTGTTTGTTATACAGAGTGGAAGACAAAAGCGGTTATCACCACATGATGTGCACCCTGGAGCAAGTCTTTAATAAAAGCAGAGTCCATATTTTAAAGTAAATAATAAAATATTTTTTTTCTTCACAACCAACTCTTTATGAAGCCTTAGCTGCAGGGTGCAGGAGTTTGGAAGAAAAGACAGTAGCTTTCCCTTTAAGTAAACTATCTATAAAAGTTTGAGTCATTTCATAGCACTGGCATATTCCGCTGGCTTGCACCAATTCCACAGAAGGACAGGTATCGGAGAAAGCTCTTGACTTTTCACACACACCTTAGAATAAAGTCAGGGTTAGCATTTAGCCTCTAGTTCTGTGATACTGCCTAGAAAGGCTACAGTGCTGTCTCCTGAAATTGTATGTTGATTAATTTTAGATCCCATCCTCTAAAATTCTTCAGGTCTTGGATTCAAAGGTGTGGGGAAATGTTCCAATCCAGTCCTCAGAAAATGATTCATTAAATACAACTTTCCCAAGTCTAACTTCTGCTAAGCCAGCAAACCCATCTCTTGAGTAACACTTTCAGCCAACAGTATTGTCCTTTGTTGTTCAAAAGGCACATATGGTGAGCTTCCTCCATTTCTCTTAAAGCAGTCTGAGTTCACTGTTAGGAGTGTTCTCTGACAGTCAGTCTGTAGTTTTCTTTCTCTGATTATACCCAAGTTGGACTAAATGTATTGCTTTTCAAAATTGTTATGTCAGTTTGCAAATATAGAGGCCTGTCCTGATTCTGTAGGTACCAGATTGGCACCAAGAGTATTCCCTCCACAACAGAACAGAAGAAGAGTTTTGTTTTTCTGTGTTGATCCCAAGTAGCGGAGCTAACTGTGTATCAGATAGCAGGCCACCCAGGAGGTAGGCAAGGCAATCTGGCTCTATTTGTTTTTCCTTTTAGTATTAGTCTCTGGAGGAAAGTATGTCCATGCTTCAGAGGACAGTGGAACTCTTTGCTTTATATATGGCTGCTGGAGTCTTGTTGCCACGTGACTGTCCAGATGATGTTTCAGAAAAAGCTTTGTCATTTTCGTTCCTGCCTCTGATGAGGCTTTTGTTCTGTTCATGGCTGTCCTCTGTCATTATTCTTTCTAAAGCAGCAGAATGAGTTTTCAGCAGTTCTGAGAACACTAGGTAAAGCACTGACAAACACTGTGTAATCCTGGAGAGTCTGAGAAGTTCAGGCTGTGATGTGGCAGAGAGCCTTATTACCCAGAGTGTAAGGTCTGAGGGCAGAAATTAGTCAGATGAATCAAAGGACAAACACGGTATTGATTTATGGTGAGAGTCTGGCCTCCTCACTGCTTCATTTAGAGGCATTATCTCTCAGACAGTCTTCCTTGGATTCTCATTCCCATTGAGCTCTTTGTGGTGCATTCACTAACTCTTCTTGAATTTGCTTTTCCCAGACCCTTGCGCTCTTACGATAAGGCTGATATTAAGCTCCACAGGGAGTTTTTATCATTCTTGAGTACAAAGAACGGGAGGAGAGTAAAGAACGTCATCCTCCTTCCTGCCTTAGCCGCCGCAATGGTGGGAATGAGGTAATGAACTCCACCGAGCAGAACCCTGATGACGTGCATGACTTTTTTGACGGAGAATACCCCTGTCTGTGAGGCATCATCTGTGCAAATCCCAGTATAATCTGTCACGTTCTTTCTAACATGAAGCTCAGAACCACGGATAACTTTGGATGCAAACTGTTTTCAGCTCTGTGATGCAGTGGAATGGGAGAATAAAAGACTTGTTACTTGGCTGCCTAACTTCTTTTTTCAGTGGCAAAACATACTGCCTTTGAGGTGTGGTACAATTCCCGGTCTGGGCTGGTGAGGAAGAGGGAGATTCTTTTCTGTTTAAATTGTGAAGATACCAGATTTCATTAAACAGTATGAGCAAAATGGATTAGAATAACTGATACTTTAAGTAGCAGCTACCACCCGTGTCCCAGATTCCCTGAGGAAAGCTGGCTTAGTGACCTAGGAGAGTATCTGGGGATAAGACCTAGGGACCAGCACACAAGGCTCCACTTTTAAATGCTTTAATCCATACACGGCTTATACTATAGATAGAAATTTACATCCTGCTTCTGGCATATATCCTTGCATTGACTACAGTGGGAACATTCCCTGGCTTTGAACTTCGGCGTGTTCCCCAGGAGGCAATCTCATAAAACAAGAGGGACACTGGAGGGATTTGAGAGAAGTGCAACACAAATTAGTAGTGGCCTGGAGGGTTTTGTTTGTTTTTGAAAAAAAGAAGAAATTGCATGAGTTTACAGTAACTGAGGGGAAACATAAAAGCATCTATGTTTCTCTAATCTGCTGTGTCATTTCCAAGATCCCTATTTAAACAGTGATTTGATATCAAAAAGACATGAATGCTAAGGAGAAAACATAATTATTTAGAACACGAAAACAGAATCACTAGGATGAAAATAAAGAGGAAGTTCTGTTTAATGGCTAGAAGAAAAGATTATGAAAGTGGAATTGCATAAACTGTGGCGTGATCAATCATATGATTTCAATTGTCATATTTCAATGCCTAGATGAATGTTATCTGGCATTTTGGCTGTTGATTTTGAATAACTATGCAGGGGAGGTGCTAAAATCTCAGCAGTAAAAGGAATTGTATTGAAATAAGGCGTTGGGCTCTGTGGCTTTGTGCAAAACTTCCTTGAGGAAAATCTCCAGCTTAAAAAAAGCAATCTAATGTATGGTTCCCTGTAAGAATTGTGCACTGGCACATGATCTTTTTTACCAGACATACATAGACTGTTCCTTCTGCCTCTCTAAATTTATTGACATCATGGTGTATAATGTAGGGTGATGAGATGACCAGACTTGAGAATGCTTTTGTAGCTCTGGAACTCAATTACCACAAGTCCTTTAAACCACAAAGCCTGCTGAGACTAAGTTATTTATGTTAAAATAGCTTTTTCTCTGTTGTCTTGTGGGTTTGTATTTTTTTCATCTATTTAAAAAGATTATACATCATAGCAACAGTGTGAAGTAGAAATTGGGTGCCTCTTTTCTAATAGGCTCTGTTCCCATGAGTCGTAACTCCTGGAAGCTGCTGAAAGTCATTCTTGTTGCATTATCACCTTCCATAATCATATCATTAGTGACTGTGGTGTTATTTAAGTGCCCTGGTTCTGTTTGCTCTCTGTGGAGACCATTTGTCAAGGGGCCAAACCTCTCTAGATTAAGTCTATTACTATCCGCAGATGTATTGTGAAAACACGGAACATCAAGAGGCACTTAACCCACAATCATTAGAACTGAGGATTATTGTTTCTGCCACATATACCCTCTCCAGAGAGTGGAGGGAATTGCTACGATGTTAATGAATATGGTTTGCTTAAAAGAACTGTTTTCATTTTTTTCCCAACCACTACACATCCATCCTATGGCACAGAGGAAAAGAGAATCTGAGACCGACTCTTTTCTCCCATGCACAGTCATGGTTATTCTTTTTGTCAAAGTTATATTTGGTTTAACAGGACCCATTTGGGATCCACTTGTTGAAGAACTACCATCTTTTATAGCAAAGCTACCTGTGCGTTTGTCTTAACTAGAGGAATGCTAAGTAGGAGGAGACGAGGAATGTTCTAAAACTGAAAAAGGGAAATGGGAGGTGCGCCTCTGAAAATTTTCATATTTCATATATTCCTGACCTGTGCATTCAAGCCATTGCATTTTATCATTATGACAGTGTCAGTACATCAGCTTATGGGTAAAGGCAGTGGGCATCTTCAGAAGAGGCAGTGCTCCCTCTTAGCACTGACACCAGTGTGAGATGGCTGATAAAATGGTATTGGTTGTATTGGTACTCACGGGACCAGCCTCAGATCTGATTTTGTACCATCGGGAGTAATCTCAACAGCATAGAGAAAGTACTAGCCAGGGCAATCTTTCCTAGCTTTCAGGTTGTACAAGTAGTTCCTGGAGAAAATAATTCCTTTTAATTATTCTGCATAAAATACGCTAGCAACTACGAGCAAAACTAGAAGAAAATGTTTTATTTGTTTCCATGCCTTATTCGGAGTTATTTGACTTTGCAGTAGGTCCCAGGAACACCGTGCAGTTTTAGAAAGTATGCTTAGGAGTATGTAGGAACTATTTTTAGGGCAATACTCTCTGACACTGTGTTGTTTAGTCTAAATTAGCAAAATACAAATATCTGTATGCCCGACCATTCTAAATATTTGCCT